GCAAGCATCCATCCCCATTTGGATCATTGATGTCCAAGCCGAGGGTGTTCTCATTCAGAGGAGTGAAGGTGGCGCCTTTCTCATGCACACCAACTGTTCCACATGTGGCCCGTGTGAGTTGTAATGGTTTTATTACTAGTAATATATACTGGGAATTAGTAGTTGGTTTAAGATTATGTTTAAATTTCATGATAAGGATTTTTTACATAAGTTATGGTTCTCATCTAACAAGAATTTAATTTAGTTTGTAAATTTAATTCCCTTCTAAATAAATTCTTCCTGTGTGTGCAGTGAGCTAGGCATGAGGAGTTGGGACTCTGTGCTACTCCCATTATAAATTTTATTTACCAGCTTTCATATGAAAATCCGTGGTCAAATTTACCAAGCAAAAAATCAAGGGAAACCAAAGACAACATGAACACGATGGAAAAAGCACTCGGTGGCAAGTAATTAGATTTGGGATTTAATAGATTCAATCCTAATATGATTTCTCTTCATAATCTCATTTGATGATGTTTTCATATATTTTCATAGAAAGACCAATTGAAAGAACAATCAAAACCTAAGGACCATATGAAGAACTTTCTCTTTTTTTGAACTATTAAAAGTTTAAATATCTTGCTTTTCATGTGCAATTTCTTGCAAGGGAATCTGTTTTGGTGCAATGTTGTAATGTATTCGCACTTTATTTGTTAGTTCTTTTTATCGAAATGAAAAAAAAAAAAAAAATCTGTTCTGACTTTAATTTAAAACCTGTGAGATTGCACATTTGTTCAAGCAGCATAATCACCTCTTTTCATGACCTTGGTAGCAAATCTAAGATGAGTTAAATGTTGCTATTAAGTTTTGTTTTTATTTTTTGTATATAGAGACTAAAACCTAATTAAATTTTTAATTTTTTGATCTTTTGTTAGTGATATGAGCTTGAATTGCCTTAGTTAAGGTGTTGAGAATTTGAATTATTAAATTCTGAAGAGCATAGATGATTATAAACCAATTTTACCAATCATCTTTCTTGATTTTAAACAATTTAAAAGGGCAGCTTAGCTGTTGAAACATGTCATGTTGAAGAAGCTCAGACAACATGTCATATTGAAGAAGCTTAGAGATGCAGTGGTAAAAAAGTGGTAAAAAAGCTTAGGCGTAGAAGCCTCTTGCCAATAAATAAGAGGCAAAAGCCTCTTATCAGGAAGATGGAATAGGTGGTTAAACTTGAGGGAAAATGATGTTTATATAATTGCCGGTAAAGGCAAGGTAATTCTATTGTTTCCAATCTACTTGCTTTATTTATAGATTATCTTATAAATGTCTTAAGGCTTTTATAAGTATTTATAAAAGTAAATCTTTTATTTTTAAACTGGGGCATTGGAATAGTTTCTTAAGTAAATTTCTTATTTATTTATTTATTTATTTTTGGTTGAGGGTTACCATGGTGACGCATCAGTAACTTTCGTTTGCAGAGATGTTGATGAACAGTAAGCTTCCTTTTTTATTTCAGGTGTAGAGATAGTGAAGTAGTGAACAATAAGGGCCTAGATCAAGCAAGAAACATCTCTTCTGTAGCAGAAATAATAAAAGCTTATTGAAGGATCATCTAACTTTCATTCCTCAACTGCCAGTCCAAGGTACACTTTTGCTTCCAATCATCAAACAGCATACTGCCTATCCTTAAATATATGTCTGAGAAAAGAAAATAAAAGGCAGTACTTAGGATAGAATAGATATTAGGACAGACTTAGTTCCTTAACCTTACAGACTGTAGTGGAAATTATACAAATTAATAGATAGAATTGCAATAGAGGGAGAAGATAAAAGGTGGAGAAATAGAATGAGACAGTTGAGGAATTAACAAGATGTTTGAAATTTTATTTGAAAACTGTTGAATATGGTGCATTCAGTACATGTAGAAAAGTAGAAGCTTGAAGATAATAAAAAGGTACTGAAAATCAATTGAAGTATTTGAGATTCTGAGTGGCACAAAATCATATCTGTATTTTTTCTGATGAAATGAGAGGGAGAAAAGTAGTATATAAATGAGGAATAGTCAAAGATTACCACCTACATAAAAGCTTTATGGAGATATTTAGGATTTACAAACCATTAGAAAATACTCATGAATTAGAATCAAGAAATATATTATCAATTTATATTAATCTAGTGAACGTTTAAGGTTTTTTTTTTTTTTTTTTCTATCATATTTAGAAATAAGAATTCTTCCATTCATCTTATTTTCTTCTTTTTTATTTTTGTAATTTTTACAGTCTACATGTTCCTTTTTCATGATATTGCGGTTGTTGCTAGTGTAGGAAACCAGGCCAATTTTGTCTTCATTAAGGACTTAAGGACCGATGACAATGACTCTGTCAGAATGGAGGTGAAGCGTCTCAATGCAATAAGGATCACTCTCAAGAATCTCCAAGACTAGCTCAATTTTTTTTCATGTGAGCTTTGTTTTAATCTTTTCCTCTACTTCTAGAGTTTGCTTACCATTTTACTTTGTTTTCATTTCGTCCTATTTGATCGTTGAGAAAATGATGGAAATTTTCCATGGAAAATGCATCTTAATGCTTAAGTCAGTTTGGTTAATTTTGGAAAGTAATAATAATTATGTATTAGGCATGGGTTATTGTAAAATTTTTTTCTTCCACTGAAGTTTTAAATTATGGAAATATTGCATAAAGATTTTAGTAGTTGTTTCTTTTGTTTTCCTTCATTTAGAGTGACATTTTCTTAGTTAGAAGGATAATCGAATTTAACTTATTATTAAGGAGATGGAGGGAGATGAAGGTTATGAAGCTTTGCATTGAGTATTCTTATGGATATAATGATATATAGAGATTGCAGAGGTTGGCAGAATTAAACTTTAACAAGATTATATTGAATTGGTAGCAATGGTTCAAACTTTGGAATCAAAGAAATGATTCTAGGAGTTCAGTTGCAACAGGAAGCCATTTAGGGTGTTGCATGCATGTATAGTTAGTGGGTTGCATTGTAGATCAATATTAGGATCTGGCCAAATTTATCAATTCACTCTTTAGCTAATTTAATTATTGCACTTAGTTGTAAACTAATATTACCAGTCAGTTCCAACTCAATGACCACACCCATTTAAGTACAGAATCTTCTCTCATAATTAACTCAATATATCCTGTCCTCTGGATTAGATTGCTGATCCTTTTTCCTTCCTTTGTTCTTATCAATGGACTCCCATAGAAGGTCAGGAATGTTATCTATGGTGCGTTATGGTCCTTACTTTGCTGCTTGGTGCTTATCATGTATATGTGATAGTTGGTCCAAGAAAAATGAAGTTTGAAATAAATGATCAAGAGATATCTCAAGAGTTGGAAGTACCATTTTTAGCAATTTAAGAGACTATGGGGTGGTTGGTACATTAGTGTATTTTTTGTGATATGAATCCTTAATCCTACTTAATGTCTATCATTTATTACATCAATTTTACATCTAATTTGATGGCTTACTAATCTTCTAAAAAATTTTTTGGCATAATTTCCAATATTGTTACTGAAGTGGATAGCTCTTTATCCATGATGAAGAATAAATAACAAAATATTACTTTAGGTTGTGCAAAGAAAAACTGCTGTTTTTTTTTTTAATTTTTTTATACAATTATGCGGTGTTTTTGTTTCTTTACTCATGTTACAAATGTAAAATCAATGTAGTCTTGTCTCTAAAAAGTCTAATATTCCTTTGAATTTTGAAGTTTTATTTTGCTTCAATAACATCTGCAGGTTGGTCTTTCCATTTTTTGCTTTCTAAAGAAAAGATATTAACATGATTCCTTTTGCTTGCTTTTGATTGTATACGGTCATAGGAGCTATAATATTTTTGAAAGATTGAAATAAGTAAAAACATAAATACTGCTCCTATGATTAACACTTCTCAACATGACTTCCTATTGTTGTTTGTCAAGTGTTAATGAATATTTTTTATCAGTGTATTTGAATTTTACAGCAAGTTGCCTCTTTTTTTTTTTTTTTTTCTTGCATTCATTATATTAAATTTTTTTTTGCCTTTTTTTTTTTCTTTTTTTCTTTCTTTCAATTTCAGTAGGCTTCCTAAACATATTTAAAGTTTTGCTAGAATTTCTGCAAATGCTGTTTAGCCAAATGATACGTTGGGACTGGGAGAGACCAAAGCTTCTCATTGTGAAGATTGATAGAACTACCAATCAAAAGGTTCTTCTTTAATATGCTTCATATTTCTCAGAAGAAGTAGCCAAGGGAGTTCTTTGGGAGAAAGAAAATCACTTAAATTCACTTTCTGAGTTGATCATGTTAGCATTTCTTCTCAAATTTGATGAAGAAGCCGTCGGTGTTTAAAGTTAAAAGAATTTGCAACTCTTTTTGGAGGACAAGTTTCTTTCAGCAGCCTAGGCATGGTGAGCACAGTTAATATTCGCCGTGAGTGAGTAGGCATGATGAGCATAGCTAATATTTCAACTTTTTCGCATTTGGCCATCTTAATCTTCCTACTTCCTTTTGTAATATTTATAATTAGTTTTTTCTTTCAGGCATATGAAGTATGGCTGGGTGAAGGATATGGTAGTTTGTAACATCAGGCTTATTTGGAAAAATTCGACTGTTATGAAGGAGATTTCATCTTCACAAAGAGGATTACCATAAAGTTTCAAGAATATTTTGAAATTATGTTATCCAAAATCCTTTGGTTCAATGGTTTAGGAGGATGAGTATTCAAGGGACTAATATGATTTTTGGTTTGTGTCTCATGTACAATGTTAGAATTTACATTTTGTATGCTATAATACTTCTAACATTTTAACATGATAATTCAACCATATATGGGTTTTGATTTGTTTTTAAAAGTTATAATTAATCTTAGTTTTACACTTCAATTTCTTATTAATAAAAAAATATACCTTATCCATTTGATAATAGTGTTGTCAAATAATTATTCATGACTGTGGAGAACATCACTATAAAAACTAGAATGAAAAAGAGATTGCTAAAGTTTTATCTTACTCTTTCTAAGCTTTATCAATTTGGGATTGGGAGTAGTTAGTGTTATTAAATTCACATCCTTTTCTAGATATGACTATTTTAAGAATAATTAGTATAAGAAAGTGATTGAAGAATAATTATTTTGTATTATATTTTTATATAATTTTATATATTATTTAAATAATTAATTTTTTTTATTTAAAACTTGTAATATTAAATGCGTTTACTCATTTAATGGCATGTAAAAATTATGTAAAAATAATATAAAAATATTATTTTTATATCATTATTTTAAAGTAATTAACTTTAAGTTCACAATTAAAAAAAAAATGAATATATATAATTATTTTATTTATATTTAAAATAAAATACTCAGTTGAATGATCGAATAGCCTGACGTTGTGGGATATCAATCACTTGTTGGTCTCTTAATTATGGTAAGGTTTTAATTCCTAAACACAATAAATCTCTGATTTGGGCTTAAAATTTAAAAATTTAGTCCAAGTTTTCTTTGACCTCTTAAAAATTGACGGACAAGAAGTAATTTTATGTGGTGGCAAAAATAAATTTATCAACAAAATTAAAAATTTTCAATTAGTAATGTGAAAAAGAAAAAAAGAAAACGTCTAGAAATAACTTTTTTAATTTGGGAGTGAATTCACCATTAATCACTGACGATGATGTTAAAAAGTTTTATAAAACACTGATATCGTAGCGTGTTTGATGGAACCTTCAAGCCATTCCCCCGGTGTACAATCATTTGTTACTGTTTACTTGAGCAATCATATCTCAAAGAAAATCCTGAATTCAGACCTTTGTAAATTCCCCCAAAGCCAGCCGACCTACACCTACATCAACATCAATCCTGCTCAAACAGATCAATGGAGGTAAAACCAACATATACGGAAGCACTTTATTCCGCCGGTGTTTCCTTCCCTAGTCGCGAATCGCTGACGGTTCAAATCCATCATCAATATAAGAAAGCTTTCTTTCTCCAGTTTTTTTAGAAGCCTCAACCCATACCAACACAAGCATTTGGATTGTCTCCATGCTTTGCACAACGTAGTATGCGGTCAACAGAGCCATGCATGCTGAATATGCCTTCAAAATCTTGTGTGCCTTTCCACTCTCCGACGCAGAGTCTGGTGCTCGTTTCTTTCCATCTTCTTTCTCCTTCCCCGGTCCCTCGTCCTTCTCTGGTTCCTCGTCCTTCTCCGGCCCTCCGCCCTCCGGCCCTTCATCGTCTGGCCCCTCGTCCTCTTCTTCATCCTCTTTCATTTTCGTACTCAGGTTTTGGGCTTTCAGAAAATCCTCATAGCTAGGTCCCATTAGCACGTAGCTAGGTCCCATTAGCACCCATGCAGCTGGCCCTGGCAAAACTTCAACTTCCATTGGCATAAATTCAGCATCGCTTGGCATAAAGTCAGCTTGCTTTAGCATATATTCAGCTTCGATTAGCAAAAATTCAGCTTCTTCCTTTGGCAAAAATTCAGCTTCCCTTGGCAAAAATTCAGCTTCGCTTGTTATAAATTCATCTTCCCTTCGCAAAAATTCAGCTTGCCTTGGCAAAAATTCAGCTTGCCTTCGCATAAATTCAGCTTCACTTTGTATAAATTGAGCCTCCTTTTGCATAAATTCAGCTTGCCTTGGCAAAAATTCAGCTTCCCTTCGCATAGATTCAGCTTGCCTTCGCAAAAATTCAGCTTGCCGTCGCATAAATTCAGCTTGCCTTCGCATAAATTTAGCTTCCCTTGGCAAAAATTCACCTAGCCTTTGCATAAATTCAGCTTCCCTTCCCATATATTCAGCTCGCCTTCGTATAAATTCACCTTTCCTTTGCTGATCTTCCCAAATTGCAGCTGCAAACCCAAAAGCAGGAAAATCAGGGAAATAAAATTATGGCAAAATTTTCCCATGCTTTAGCAAAATTAATCCAAAAGGAATAAACAAAAGGTATGGCACACATGGATTCAGAACCAAGTCTCTGTCACGCAGACTTGACATAAATGTATAACAAAGGTTTATTAGGATTAAGAGGCAGTAAAGAAAAGGATCAAAGCCATCATGCTTGCTCGAAGAATAAGGTTTTCTAACATCAGAGTGGCCTATGACAATTAACAAGGGCCACTCCATTTTCTTCAGAATTATTCAAATTCATGAGTAAGACAAGAAAATAAAAACAGAATCCAAAAAATAATTAATAAATAAATTATTTCTATGAATAAGATTTTAATTTTTACAGAATCTCATTTGTCATAATTAACACTAGCACTAATTAAAAAGAGTGATGGTCAGGAATAATAATAATAAAAAGTTTAACACAAGACCTTTTTCTATAAAGATTTGAAAGCCAAAAATGCTTTTGCAGGATGGGATTATATATTTTAAAAAGGATAGCACGTGCTAAAAATTACTTAAATTTGATTTTTTTTAAAAAGCTAGAAAGAGAGAAATTAGAATTTAAAAGAAACGAACCTCTGGAATCCATAGGTCTCTTTCCAAGGTAACAGCAATTCTTTTATGTCCATTGGCAGAGGCCAGATCGGCAGGTGTTCTGCCAAAAGGATATTCTGGTGATCGCTTTGTTAATGCTCCAGGATCTGCACCCAATGAAATGAGGGTAGCCACTGTGTTCTCTCTGAAGTTGAAGAAAGTTTATGTCAATAGAACCAGCACAGAAAAGATCAATGGGTCAGAAATCACTGAGAAAATAATACATAGGCTAAGCATGAAATGTCAGATGATATGGTATTTTTCACATTTTTTGAATATGAAAGTTAAGAAAGATATATTTTCCTCATTATGGAGTATTTGCTAACCTATAGAGCCATTATTTTAGAGCCTTCTTTGGATCTTCTCTTGTGGACAAAAGCAAAATACTCAAAAAGGGAAAAGATAAACAAACAGAGGAAATGGTACACATTAAACAAATATTCAAAAGAATTGTGGAGGTGTTCACCTGCCACAAGATGCTGCCCAGTGAAGTGCAGTCCATCTATTCACATCACAGAAATCAACACTTACACCAGCAACTATAATAGGCTCCAAAGCCCAATCATAGCCAAGTGCAGCTGCCAAATGTAGAACACCTTGTCCATCCTCATCCCATATGCAAGGGCCATTACCACCTTCAGCAACCTTCTGTAAGATCCATACACGCAACTTCTCTTTCAGATGCTTCTGAAACAGCTGGTCCTTTAATTTTTCTGCGGAAAATTCCATTCCTGAACCAGTCTTTAACATCTGGTCCAATTCTTTGTTGTCCCCTTTCAACAATGAACTGATTTTACTGCTCAACTGGGATGCATCCTCTAAGCTGCTGCTGACCGAATTTGTGGCACTGGAGGCTGACCACAGTATGTTATCAAAACGCAGAAGAAGATTTGCCCCGGCACTGTCACTATAGTTTTCAGCAGCAGTTATATCTTGGATAGCCAATACATCTTCAGAGGGAATGCTCAAAACATCAATCTCATTTTCATTCCCAACTGTTTCCCCATTGCCCCCAGAACTGGACCTCTTCTTCGAACCTTGTTCTGTTAAAAATCCATCAAACAAATGCTGTCCTATAGAAGAAGAGTAGATTAATTTTCCCTCAAACTTTGAGTCACCATCTGAATCTGGGGGAAGAACATAACCATCTTTTTCATTTGATAGCGATCTCTGAAGGTGATTTTCCTTTGAATTATTATTTCTTAAATCTGGACATTTCTGCTGAGGGTCAACAGAATCAATTAGTTCAAGGTGATTAACTTCTTGTTCATGAAATTTAGAAGTCGCATCAAATGCTGATTCTGATAAAGATGAAGAACCCTCAACTGAAGCCTGTTTGGAATTCAAATTAAAGACTAAAAATAATTAAACTCAAAGCCAAATGCTAGATATATACTGTGATTTGATGCATCAAACTTTAGCAGCATTAATCAATCAGTACCGTTGATTTTCTTGAATCTGTGAATGCCACCCAAAGGAAGACAATGATTCAAGCTCCATGGATTCACAAGGAGTAAAACACTTCCCGTCATCTTTACATGTTGTATACTCATGGGAAGTCCAGAAGCGGTCATCTGTTGGTTGTGCTAGTTCAGCATGCATATCACTATTGCTCCTGTTTAGTTGAAAGGGGTCCGACTGTATACCAAAATTGTTTGGCAAACTTTCAATAAAACTATCTGTTCAGAGAAAAAATGAAAACTGAAAAAGCAAACTTTAATTCAAAATAATAAAATAACATAAATAGCTATTTTACTTGAATAAAATAGAGGAACTTTAGGATCCGAACCTTCAGCATGTATCTGTTCTGCAGCAAGCTGTGGTGAGTCAAGACCAAAGTGAAATCCAGAACTTGCTTGGTAATTATATTCTACAACAACAATCATGCTCATCAGTGGAATATGAAAGACATTAATGCATTCATCATCCAGAAAACTACCTTACATTTTCTAAATTGAACAGATTTACAATTTATGATGTCACAGAACAGACATATTGAAGCTAAACAAGGTTCACCTGATTGAGCATTTCCACGTTCCAATGCCTGTGCACCATCCGGAAGTAGTGTATTTGTATATTCTGAAACTGAAAGCTCTTGGCAATCATTTGGATGAGAACCAGGACACCTGGAACTGCAAATTTTAGAATTGGACATAATTTCTTCACTCTCTTGGCCTTGGGAATATGGACATGCTACTTGAGCCTCTTTAACACAATCAATATCTTCACTTTTTCCCTGATATAATTTCAGAAAAAGAATATAAGAAAAAAGGGCTCTGTGATGAAATTGTTCATGCATCTTATTGACAAGAGTAAAGATTACGAAAAATATTGGATCCCATCTGATTTTACTAACGTGTACGTCCAGTCCAGCGTCCAGAAACTTATCTTAACATCTGTAATATAACTTGCTTCTGTGACAGTAGACATTGAAGGCTTTAGATATAATTTTTAACAAGTCCTCACAATGCGGTGATATGAAAGTGTAAGGTTACTTTCCTTCAGAAAGAAGGCACCAAGATACTGGAACAGGAGGAAAAACATAGCATAAATCTGGCACATGACAAACGGCAACATTTTTATCACCCTATGGAAACAACTGTTCATTTTAAAGTACAACTCAACAGCAAGCACTTGGATGGTTGGGGATGAGGATACTGGTAAAGAAAAATAAAAGATGGAGACCGAAAAGGAACATCTTTGAAGGAATGAAGGAAAAAGGACCAAGTCCAAGAGAAAAGGAGTAAAGATATTCTTGGTTGGAATCAAGGAATAAATTACTTCACATACCCAAATATAATAAAGCTCTATAGTTAAGAATAGTCAAGAGTTAGACCCAACATTAACCATCTGATAGTATATTTCTAACAATATATCTGCATGCTCTAAATATTTCCAAATGAAAAAGACAACATGGTATGACATGATATACTACATATCTCACCATAAACACTGTAATACAGCCATAAATTACAGTGACAGACTATACCAGAAACCAAAATCAAGTCAATTCCCATAAAAAAATCTAAGTCAATGAAATTGTGTCCTGCTGGCTGAAATTTTGCAAACTCAATGGAAAAATAATAGGAAAATAAACATAATCAATGCGGGAGTGTCATAACCTGTCCTTAAATGCATAGAATGAAACCTGTTAATCCTTAATTGGAGGGACTTGATTTAAGAAAAGGAATGTTGATGGTTGCATGGCCAATTTCGTAAAAGTTGCGGAGTTTGATTGAGTAGCACTAGCTTGTCATGTTTACACTTGTCTTATACATAAGACAAGTGGCGTGGGAGCTAGTGGAAAATCATTAGCAAAATCCCATGGTCTTATGCATGTTTTGATTTAATCATTTCAGAACTCTTTTACTTTCATTTTCTGTTTACAACCACGAGAGAGGGAGAGGAGGAAAGTTTTGCAAAGGGCAGCTTCTGTTCTCATCTTTTTACGGTGTTTCCTACTTAGCAACTGCTATATATTTGTGCTTATGGACCGACCCAGAGTAACAGTTAAGGAGCTGCTGATCAACCAGTGAAGAAATTGAAGGAGATCCAAGGCAGTTCCACCCAGGATAGCAATGGGTTTGTGTGGTAAGTACAAGTTACTGCCTTTGTAGCTTAATTAGATGTAAGATGGTAATTACATGGTTTAAAATGACTCTAGAATTAAGCTAATACAAGTTAAAGTGGGTTAGAATGCTGTACATAGCTTATTGGTGATGGGTTTTTGACATGCTGGTGGAGATTAAGGATTAGAATCAACAACTTATTGTGTTTGAGAATGTTTATGACTTGTAGACATAATAGACGAAGTTTAATACTGGCTGTTGTTAAAGATAGCAAGTATATAATAAATCAGCAAATAAACTTGCGAAGGCTAATAGGCTATATCGTAGCTATGCTGTAACTGGAATGAAGATGGGAGTCCAATTTTATAAAAGTAATAAAGGGATGAAATAGTTATAATAACCAGATTTATAGTCTGCAATTGATTCTATTGACATAAGGACTTTTGAATTAAGCATTCTAGGCATCTCCATTGTATATGCATACCAGGTTCACTGGTTATGATGAATGAATATAGACTGCCTATATTCTGTAATCCTATGTTGATACCCAAAAGATGTTATCAGATCTATTTGTTATTGAATGCTTATGATCAAAATGACATGAGTTATACTTAAATGATATTCAATGGTCAGGGATGATTATTATTGATACTTATGATCAATGAGGTACAAGATCCTATTGAGAGCATTGAAACATTGTCGCATACAACTTGCATTGCATTGTTTTCTATGGGGGGTTATTGACCTATGCTAAAAGCTAGGTACTATTTTGCTCAAGTGAGCAGCCATGGTTATTGTTATTGACCACTGCACAGTTGGGTATGCCATGACAAGTTCTGGCAGAATGTGAGTGTACCATATATTGATTAGTTGACCCCATGCCATTGTATTTGTATTGAGCACATATCCCTAGAATACTTTCTGTCATCAAGGTTAAGGTATTAGACATACTTTCTGAGATTAAGTATTGAAGCATGAATTGAGTGTGCTTGTTTGCTAATAGCTTTATTGATAAGTCCCTGCTTGATGTTTTTTCAATTATTGACGACAGGTTGATTTAGCTAAACCTACTGTTTTGTATTCTGTTATAACTACAAGCTTATAATGGACTAACCAAATTATCTTCCTAAATTGGTTAACAATTCTATCATGGCTCTAAGCTGTAACTTACACCTATTATTGTGAACAAGCTTACTTGAGCTTTTTAAGGTAAACTTGAACCTGCCCAAAACTGTATCCTGGCTAAAAGTTCTTTGAAAACCTATTTGGGTTACTCGTAAAACTATTATACCTTTTTTTTTTAAAAGAAGAATTTATTTGCTGACCATATGTATAATCTGGACTTTGGAACTAAACTGCGATTTTTCTTGTTTAATCCAATATTTTAAAGTTCAGGCTTCCTGCGCTATTGACATGATTTTTCTAAAGCTATTTATAACATTTCAAACTTTAATATAACAGCTTAGGCTATAAACTACAGAAGGTTCCACATGGATTTTGTCTTCTACCCTGCCAAAATCTTCTTGAATTTTTCTTACGTGAATGCTCCTTTTTAATTAAAACAAGCATTGTTTTTAAGTCATAGTGCAATCTTGACCTTTCTAAGGGAAGGCTTCAGTTTTGGTTATGACAGTGAGCCATGAAAGGAAAAGTAAAATGAACATAATCACCGCATGAACTTATAATTTGCCAGTTCATTAAATAAAGAATAAACAAATTATGAAGCACATGGATGTTTCATGACAGCATTTGGCTGTTCTAGTTCTGTTGGTCACTCACTCTACCTAGACTCAAGACTGTGCTCTTAAATTGACTTAATATAACTTCAAAATTTCTGTTTAATCACTATATTTGTAAACTGCATCAGTTATATGGTCTCCTTAGGAAGTAAGTAGTAAAAAGTTGAAAATAAAATTCATAAGTTCATTTTAGAAGATGGCTAACAAAAAAAGGAAAGGGTGATAAGATAAATTGTGAAGTCTAACCGTTTCTTCCAGGTAATGGACAGAACAATGTGGGAGAAGTCCCTACAGCAATGGTTGATCATGTTAGAAATGGGCAAGGAAGTCTGAAAAAGTTTATCAGAATTTGCAATCACCAAGTTAACACAGTCCAACTAATATTCTTCCTAGTATGACCCCTCTGTTTGAAATTAAGCTGGGGAACCTGAGCATAATAACTGGATGTTGATTTGTTGGAACAGAAACAAGTTTCTGGAATTTCACTCGTGCTACTACAAGTTTTAAATTTTTGGAAGAAATATTAAAAAAAAAAGAGGAATTAGCCCTCTAACTTTCATTAGATGATAAGGTAGTTAATAAGGTCCTTTCATTTTTTAATCATTAAAGCACCCAACTTCTCAATCTGACAAAATGGCCCAAAATAATTATTAATTAATAGTACTAATTAATCCAACATTCTTTGAATAACTAAATGTGATACAAAATAAAAAAAAAATAACTGAAAAACTTATACCCCCAACAATTCACAATCCAGATCTGGCACTACCAGCTGAAATCAATGCTATTTCGGAAAAAGAAAGTAAAAGCGGTAGTGGTCTATTCAAAGAGAGGTGGTGATATTTATAGAGGGTAGCCGATGACCACGCTGCGAAAATGACAGTCTTGACTTGAGCGCTCGGAGAGAGGATGGCAGACACTTGCACTCTAGGTTTTTTCTTTTTTTTGTATTTTTTTTTCTCGGCAAAGGTTTTTTGCGCGGTAGTCTTTTTTTTTTATTTTTTTATCATTATTATTTTGACAGTGAAAATTTAAAATAAATTTTATAATATTCACATAATATTAATTAAAAATA